TGCAGAGACCCAAGGGGGTGTTTTTGCTGATCAGCACATCAGGCCCTGCTCACCTTTGGGTTGTGCAGGATAATAACTTCTCTGCTGGGGGACTCCAGCTTCTTCTTCCACTCATCCAGGGTCACAGCAATCATGTAAGCTTCCTACAGAAGAGAACACCCTCTGTGAGTCAGCTGGCAATACTCCCATGAATGTTCAACCTCTTGAGACATTCCCCACCCAGTTTTCGGGATATCTTATCAACATTTTGCGAAAGTGGCAGAGAAATCAGCTGGAGGAGCAGCAGGGTCATCCGAGGATCACCTGCTGAGGGTGTCCAAGAACCTCCCCCCTCTGACAGCAGCAGCGTCAGACTTCCCCATCAACTTGAAACTGTATTTTTGGCACATCAGAATAGAGATTATTGCAATGCAGGGGCAGGGGACGGGGAGGCCACAGCAGTGTTCACAGTGCTCACAGTTCCATTAATCAGCTGCAGGAAGGCCGTGCCAAAGCCTCTTTGGAGTTCGTGTCCTCAGGCCTGACTATGGCGCCAGTGGCCCCATATGGGGTTTGGGACATCGGGGCCGGTGTGTGACAAGGAGAGGCCAAGATGGAAACCAACAGGAAAGGTGTGTTTACCTCCAGTTCCTCGCTGAAGGACTCCGAGTAGGGAATATACTTATTGTCCTTGTCTCCCTTGTAAAACCAGGTGCAGCGCCGCACTTCGGACACCTCCTCCTGCCAGTACACGGCCACGCGCTGCCGCTGCTTCAGGTGCACGTCGTACCTGCCCCCCGACGTCGGGACAACCACATCCTCCTGGTCCTTCCCTGTGGAACCAAGGCCTGGGATTAACCGCGAGAGGCCCGGAGCAGGGCGCTCCCAGGAGCACAGCAGGTCTGAGCCACGGCAGCAGGCACCAACACTGCCCACAGCCGAGCCCCGAGAGCAGCATCGGGGCATCCTGGGAGAGATGCCCCAAGCCGAACGTCCCCTGGAGGCAGAAGGTAAGATGAAGGCATTAACTGTCCTTGTCTCTGGTTTGGGCTCAGGCTTACATGGCCTCTTCCTGCCTTGCTTAGAGTACAAGTGAATTTGTGGCCTGGAAAGTGCACTGTGTAATGGTGGGGGTGCACCTGGGTCTCTAAATCATTCCCCTCCCGGAGAACTCCACACTGACCCCAATAGGGACCTCAAATCCTGTGAACTTCCCTGCCTTTTGGCTCTGCCCCTGGGCTGGGCTGGTGGCACAGTGCCCCATGCCAGGCTGGGCTGTGGCACTGGGGGCGGGCAGCACGAGACCTCTAATCCAAAACTTCCTGGGCGAGGGAGGACGGGAGCCAAACCTTGGGCAATCGGAGCTTTGCCCGCGGCAGCGGCGGGTGGCACAGATGGTGACATCTGGCACACAGGGGCCTCAGTGCAGGGCTTGGAGCCGACCCCCGACCCCTGCTCCTCCTGGAGCTGTGCTTCCCCACGAGGGGAATCCCCCAGCAGAATTCCTGCCATCCTCCTAGCACTCTCCCAGCCTCACCAGAGGATGCTTTGCACTGTGATTATGTATAATTTAGAGCAGTATCAATTGAACACAGTCAGACCATTTGATGCATCCAAACAGCTCGGTTATTGGGAGCCAGGCACGTGGCCAAAAAAAAGTTCCAATTTAAATTTCCCCGAAGGAAAACCTGGCATCCCAGGTGGAAGCCATGGATGTGTCCAGGGAATTTTTCCCTGGTACCCAGACAGTGTTTACCCGGAGCACACACCTGATGCTCCCCCATTGACCTCACCAGGCCTGTTCTTTACACCGATTTAAGAGCAGGGACCTGAGATGTAAAACCAAAGCTTTGGCGACTGACAGATAGTGGTGGTGGGAGCTGGAGGCTGGGGGTGCCGTGGGACCCCCACCCTTGGGGGGTGGATGGATGGTGGGAGCTGGAGGGCGGGGGTGCCGTGGGACCCCCACCCGAGGGGTGGGTGTATGGCGGGAGCTGGACACTGGGGACGC